CGATGACCATAAAATAGAGCAAAACTCATCCTCCGCCAGCTGACGAGAAAGGAATGAATCCCTCGACCCTTCGCCAGAGGCGGCAAACTCGTTGAGCCGGCTTAGGACGTTTACATTGTCTTTTTTCAGCTGTCGTAATTTATCGCCAAACTTTTCTTCAATCACCTCCGCCAGCTGACGAGCCAAGGGGGCTGATCCCCCTGACCTGATTCTCATACTGGTTTGAGGGATAACCCCTCTTGACCGAGTAGAGGTACTTTTATTCATATTGGTGTGATCCCTCCCTCCGTGATGATAGGGAGCTTGTAACTCGAGACTCCTTTGGTGGGGTCCTTTCCCTTTCTGTCGAGTGTTCACCATGGTCACTGTTCTTTATAGAGAAAAAACTAGGAAAACTAGTCGTTTCCCACAGACGGCGCCAGATTGTGCGTGCAAGATCCTGCACAATATAAAAAACGAGAACAGATCTCTCCCTTGGTGAACTCGAGTGAGCCAGTTGAGTGACCAACCACGCTGCTTGGAACAGCCTGCGAGGTCCGGTGGTAACCTGGAACGGCAACGGGAGACCCTGGGGGAGCGGAAGAACGATCCAGTAAGGCTGAAAGAGGTTCCTGGAACAAAGAAGAACAAGTTAGAAGGGCGCCGGAGTGTTTTCCGGCGTATCCCCTCCGACGATCTAGTCAGTCTTTGAGAAAGAGAGAGGAAGGAGAAAACACTGAGTGTGTATTGTAGTAAAGAGTTTTTTGTTGCATACCCGTCTTGCCTTTTGCAAGGAGTATTTATACCTCAAAAGCTCATGATTGCTGTCAGTGTAGTCAGTAGGTGATCATTAGGTACAGGCAGTGTGCGCACTGATTCTGATGAGGAATGTCTTCTCTTCTTAACTGTTCGGAGTCCCGAGTAATCAATGCTGTGTCATCGGGATGCCGACGGTACAATGTACTCCTCTCGGGGAGGATGCAATAAATGTTCTGTATTAGGAGCATTTATTGCCTTTCATTTCCGAGCCTGACCGCATTGAATGCGGTCTCGTCAAGGGAATGGTGTAATTAATCGTTTGCTTTCCCAAGTCGTGTGTCAGCAACGGCATGCGGTTTCTCTGTTTTCGATGTGATATCATAGGAGGCGTCAAGGACGGGTACCTCTCGGCACCGAGGAAAGGCTCATCTCGGACCCGAGGGAGGTATACCGACCGAGGTACCATATCAGACGAGACTACGTGTCGGTTGTAAAACATACTGAATGCCATGATCCTATATGACGAGTATCTCGGGGGCGAGGACCTTTACGTGCCGATGGCGCTTGATGTTAGCAACAGTGTTTTTGTAATACCGAGGACACGTGTCTTCATTATGGAATATTTCAGAAAAGTTCNCATACTGAATGCCATGATCCTATATGACGAGTACCTCGGGGGCGAGGACCTTTGCGTGCCGATGGCGCTTGATGTTAGCAACAGTGTTTTTGTAATACCGAGGACACGTGTCTTCATTATGGAATATTTCAGAAAAGTTCCATCAACTGTCATTTGGGTCTGGTCGAAGAATGTGTCCTGGATTAAATATGGCCATTGCTACTGTAGAGTTCACACTGGCTAATCTTTTCTACTGTTTCGATTGGGAATTGCCTAATGGTATGAAAACAGAAGATATCAACATGGAAGAGAAAAATGGTATTACTACGCCAAAGAAAACACCCCTTTGTCTTGTGCCTATCAAGTATAATTGGGAAAAATAAGGATAAACAGCTTTGTAGAGACAAAGCTTAACTTGTTTTGTATTTGTTATGCTGTAATGTGTGTGTGAGTGTTTTGTAACTTTATTTTGGTTTTTCAGTTGAGAGTATTGAAGATCATGTAGTGTATCTGCAGTGATTGTGTGTATCGTCTTATGCATCAAGTTATGTGTACTTTATATAAAATGGAATAAGTCTACTAACTTTTGATAGCAAGGAATCTTCAACTAAGCATTTAATATTTGTTTCATCTATATTAAGCCCTCGAACTATTTAGATTTATCGATTGCTCCTTCTGTCCATTTCCATTAAAAAAACCATAATAGGTTTCAGCATGCTTAAGGTATGAGAGTTTTGTTATTGGAATTACTATTATTATTGACTTTTTATGCAGTTTTCGGCAGAGAGCATCAACTAGTAAAGGATTTGATGACAATTTTTAAATATTTAACCGCAACAATTTCTATGACTAAAAGAATAATTTCTTCTGGTGTAAGTCCCAGCAGAAGAAAAGGGCTAGTATCAGTGGCATGCCCTATCTAATGCTTCTAAGATTTCATCTCGTTTGCAAGGAGGTTACCTTATGGTCTTGCCCTATCTAATGCTTCTAAGAATTCTCTCAAGTTACCACATCATAGATGTCCTCCACTCTCTGCCCTTCATTTTCCTCTGGTAAACTTGGTAAAATCCCAACCCAAGTCAACCCTAGAAATGACTTAATATATTAATTTCATTAGATTCATAGTACATCCTAGAAATGATGTGGTCCACCGCCAATTAAACGATAATAATAATTTTAGTACAATTAGCATTATTTAAGAAGTATTAGGTACCATTAAATGATGCAAGTCCTCATTTCATTAGCAACTCCGAATGGCAGTTTGTGGCTGTATTACATTGTTAATTCATGATTGATAGAGTAATTAACATTTTGTAATTCATGATTTGAGATTGTAACCATGAAGACCCTGTGTGTGACTTTATTTTAAAAATAAAAATAAAAAATCATTCCCAAACAATAATTTTATTTATTATTGACTTTATTCCCTTTCATCTTTGATCACATAGTGCAATTGATTGAAAGTTCAAGACCTACCCAGTAACCAATTTTCTATCAACAGGCAACCATGTGCAACAATGTCATAATAGAGAACTCAGACTCATAGACCACACATTGAACTGCAGGATTTATGCTGCAGGTAACCAAATCATGGCTTTCTTTAGTAAAATTCTTACTTAGAAGACAAGAATAAATAGAAAAACAATTAATCCACAAGGTTACTGACACTTTGAGGAGAGTCAAATATGCACAATCTTACCATTGCATATAAAAAGACTGTCAGTGTAATAAAATAAGTCATTTCACGATCTTACCACGGTTAAATAAGTCTAATCAAACTCCAAAACGGCTATATATTTAATTTAATTTAAAAATTGAGAATGAGATTGGACAGCTGCACAAGTATTATATTTTTTTGTTGTGTCGAAGAGGTGTTTTCTTCTAGATGGTGATGTCGCCTTTCTCTTTGATATCTCCCCTTTTTTGTGCCACCAGGTAGTGGCCAGTCAAAACAGTACCAAAAGTTAGCTAGGGTAGAATTTATCTCGGTTATTTAAGTTATTTAAATCTTTGTTTCTGCACTAATTAAAATTGTGGTTTCGACTTAAATATTGTAAACATTGCTACCACCGCAATCTCATAATAGCATACACTCGTGTGAGATTAGTAACAATGATAATGATTCCGTTAAAAGCATAACAGTTTGTCTATATAAGGATCATTTAAGCACGAACTGAATATTTTATGGACCAAATTAAAAAAATTGAAACTTTAGGGATCAAATTGATAAAATATACATACTTTAGGGATCAAAAATACTATTAACCCTAGAAATAATGATACACAAGAGGAAAAAAAAATGAAGACTACTAATAAATTGACTTAATCAAGGCATATAAGGAACTTAGTGTGAGTTTTACCATGAGAATTCCCTTGAAATGGGTATTTGTCAGACACAAAGTGCCAATTTCATATTTTGGTAGTCTAACCAGTGAAAGTAGTAATGTCTTCACGGTTAACCATCGGCATGTCATGATAAAGATGCTCTTCAAGCATCATTTTGAAGTAACCATCGAGGTTATTGAAGCAGTTCTCCAGCCCTGCATGGTACTTAGTTTAAACATCTATGATCCATCCAATCCTTGGAAATAAGTCCTCAGCCGAGAAACTATATATCCAACATCTTCATGGCTTCATGGAGAACATCTTTTATATTTTGACCCTTAAATTGCTTTCGTATCTTTCTTTTACTAAAAGCCAATTGTACCTTAGGCTCCATCCAACAAAGTAAACATTTTTTTGATCAAGATTAATAGGATTAGGTGAGGATAGTAAGAGAGAGCTTATCAGACTATTAATTTTGACCGTACCTCCATGTCAAAACAACTTAGCTCTATTTGAATTAAAAAGCTCAAAAACAAAAAGTATGCTTGCTTATCTCGAGTAATCAATATAGGGAACGAAAACCATATCTAGGAAATTGTACGCAATTCTCTTTTGCACCAGATGATCAGAATGGCAGGCTGCAAAAGTTTATGTCATGTGGTTTCAAGACTTACTTGACCATGTTTCTCGAGGAGTTACTTGGGGTTGGGATTTTACCAAGTACTTTACCAGAAGAAAATGAAGGGCACAGAGTGGAGGACATCTATGATGTGGTAACTTGAAAGAATTTTTAGAAGTATTAGATAGGGCAAGACCATAAGGTAACCTCCTTGCAAACGAGATGAAATCTAAGAAGCATTAGATAGGGCATGCCACTTTTCATCTGCTGGGACTTACACTAGAAGAAATTAGTCTTTTAGTCACAAAAATTGTTGTGGTTAAATATTTAAAAATTGTCACTAAATCTTTTACTAGTTGATGCACTACGTCTGTCGAAAATTGCATAAAAAGTCAATAATAATATTAATTCTAATAACAAAATTCTCATACTTAAGTCTTTAAGCATGCTGAAACCTGTTATGGTTTTTTTTAATGGAATTGGACAGAAGGGGCAATTGATACATCTCAATAGTTAGAGGGCTTATTGGCTTAATATAGATGAAACAAAGAATAAATATTTAGTTGAAACTAGTAAGTATAAAATTTAGAGGTCAATCAAATAAAGATTTCTTGCAATCAAAAGCCAATAGACTTATTTCATTTTATGTAAAGTACACATAACTCGATGCATAAGACGATACACACAATCACTTCAGATACACTACCTGATCTTCAATCCCAACTGAAAAACAAAAATAAAGATACAAAACAATCACACACACATTACCGCATGACAAATACACCATAAGTTAAGCTTTGTCTCTACAAAGCTGTTTATCGTTATTTTTCCCAATTATACTTGATGGGCACAAGACAAAGGGGTGTCTTCTTCGGCGTGGTCATACCATTTTTCTCTTCCATGTTGATATCTTCTATTTTCATACCACTAGGTAATTCCCAATCGAAACAGTAGAAAAGATTAGCCAACGTGAACTCTATAGTAGTAATGGCCATGTTCATGCCAGGACACATTCTTCGACCAGCCCCAAACGGCAATAGCTCAAAATGTTTCCCTCTAAAATCGATATCATTATTTTCAAACCTCTCAGGGTAGAATTCATCTGGGTTCTTCCAATTATTTGGATCTCTACCTATAGCCCACGCATTAATTAAAACCCTTGTTCCGGGGTAAATATCGTACCCATTGCTACCACCAATCTTACAATGGCGCATACTCGTGTGTGGGATCAATAAGGGGGCAACTGTGTGCATCCTTAGGCTTTCTTTCACCACCATCTTTAAGTATTTTAGCTTATCAAGATCGGCTGCTTCAACTTTTTGTTTCCTTCCAACGCAGCCTCTAACTTCGGTTTGCAGCTTTTGCATTACCCGAGGGTTCTTAACAATTTCGGACATTGTCCACACCATTGTGATCGCACTCGTATCAGTTCCTCCAATAAATGTATCCTGAAATTAGATGAAGTATTTNAACTTCGGTTTGCAGCTTTTGCATTACCCGAGGGTTCTTAACAATTTCGGACATTGCCCACACCATTGTGATCGCACTCGTATCAGTTCCTCCAATAAATGTATCCTGAAATTAGATGAAGTATTTTGAGAATAGTAGAATATGAACGCCACAACATATGTGTAGAAATAATGATACCCAATAGCAAAAAAGAAATAAATTAATGAAGGCATATAATTAGAAGAACTTAGTAGGAGTTTTACCAAGAGAATTGCCTTGATATGGTTGTTTGTCAGGCAGAAAGCACCAGTTTTATCTTTTGATAATCTAACCAGAGAAGTAACGAGGTCTTCACAATCAGATTTTGGCATGTCTTGATGAAGATGCTCTTCAAGCACCATTTGAAAGTAATCATCAAGGTTATTGAAACACTTATCTAGCCTTGTTTGGTACCCAGTTATGATATCTATGATCCATCCAATCCATGGAAAGAAGTCCTCGGCCGAGAGACTACTCAACATCTTCAGAGTTTCAGCAAGAACATCTTCCAAATTTTGACCCTTAAATTGCTTTCCTCTATAGCTTTTACCAAAAGCAGCAGAGCAAAGGACTCCATCCACCAAAGCATAGAATTTCTGGTCAAGATTCACAGGACTAGGTGAGGCTAGCAATAGAGAGCTTATCAGATTATCAATTTCGATTTCTCTTGCACGCCAAAATAATTTAGCGCGATTCGAATTAAAAAGTTCAGAAACAAAGAGTCTATTCGTATGTTGCCACTGATCACTGTACGGTGTGAAAGCCACGTCTAAGAAATTATAAGCAAGTCTCTTTGTACCAGGTGAGGATGGTCGACTGCAAAAGTCAATGTCGTGTGTTTTCAAGACTTCTTTGGCCATGTTCGCCGACGAGATTACTATGGTTGGGGTGGTACCAAGTTTTAATAGCATGACTGGACCATATTTTCGAGAGAGTTGAAACAGGGATTGGTGATGCAATTTGCCTAGCTGGTGCAAGTTGCCTATGATTGGAAGCCTTGGAGGGCCTGGTGGGAGCTTGGCTTGTTTGATTGTCTTCTTCTTTAGATAAAGAAGACAGAGAGAAAGGAAGGGCAGGGAGAGGAGTGCAAGTAGAGGAAGCCATGATAGAGTAACTGGGATAATAGCCATGGTTAGTTTTGGTTGTGTTCTATATGCATGACCACCAAGCAACCTCCTTTTAAAGGGATGAGAGGTGTACTTGGACTTAATTTATTGTTTTTTTGTTAATTTAATTAATTATTATCATTGAATTAACAATGAATCTTAATATTATTTAAACTTGCAATCAACTCAAATAATTGTGATGAATTATATCAAAAATTAATTATTATTATTGCATTGATGATGGATCTAAATAGTGATTCTGATCAATCCAATTGCAGTAATGGATAATCCTTAAGTAAAGTGTAACTACTATATAATGGTGGATAAAGTATGTTCAAAACAAACCAATGATGGCACCCTGCCAACAACTGAAAATAGTTTAGGGCGAATTGTGCTTTGTACTATGAAATATTTAAGAATTTTTATTTTGTATTTTTAAAAATTAAATTTTTTATATTGCATCTACAATGTATTAAAACTGNCGTTCCCCCCCCCCCCCCCAACGAGTGGTATCAATATCAATTAATATATTCTTGTGCAAAACAAATAAATGGTATTAAAATCATGTTTTACCATCTTGATTGAACTCTCGAAGAAGAAGCGTTGTAGTATGTCGGTATTAATGATGGTTGTTCAAAAAAGTGATGAGCTCTAAGTATTTAAATTATGGAAACGCAACTCAAGGGAAACAAAAAAAAAACCCAAAAAAAGAGCAAAGTGCAGTTTAATATGATTCAATTCGAGCTGATTAAAATTTATTTTTTTTATTTTGCTCAAATTTTTATACATAAAAAATATAATTTTTAATTGACTCAAATATTAATACGTAAAAAATGAATTTTAATTAGCTCGAATCAAATTTTAATAAAAACATAAAAAAAAAAAATTTTAATCATCTCGAATTAAATTTTAATGGCTCAAATTTTAATATGTAGAAAAACAAATTTGAATCGGTTTAAATTTTAATCAAATGTTATTTTGGATTTATATAAGGACAATTTTGATATTTTAGATAAAAAATTTTTGCTAGAAATGGTGATTTAGCGGAAGGAGAGTTAAAGTTAAAGATGTTTTGAATAATATAAGTGATCCCATTAAAAATGTCTAGGTGTGAATAATAATTATCCTCAATTTTTTACAAAAAGGTGGCCGGGTATCAAGCATTGTGATGATGCTTAACATTATCAGTACTTGATGCAGCCCCCTTCACCATCTTCCAAATTTCATACTCTCTCTCTCTCTCTCTCGCGAATGAAGAAGTCCATGCAGTACTCGATCCCAAGGAGGTCAGATATGTTGCTTTTCAAAAATTGGCACCAACGTTTTTAAGAAAAAATAAAAACGTTTTTTAAAAACATTTTTTATGCTGAAAACGTTATTCTAATTGACATCTTTTGCATAAAAATGTCATTCCAACTCACGTTTTTAAAAACGTATGAAATTGAAAAATATTTTAAAAATAACCCTCTTTTGAATATATTTTTTAAAAACTCTATGGGCCTGTTTTTTGGAAAGGGTTTGGATTGGATTATCCAAACCCGAGTTTGACCAAAGATGGATTTGAGGAGGTTAATATTATCCATACCCATGTTTAGTATGCACAGGATATAATAGTATTATGATAAGATATTTGTATATATTTGATAATTTTGTCCTTTAACCAATTAAATCCAAACTAATGTTTAGTTACGTACATTTACTTGTGTTCTTATGGGTTAAATATATAATTAAATTTTTTTTTTCTAACTTATGAGAAAAAAACCATGAATATTGATTAAAAAATTAGTATTATTCATAATTATAATAAAGGGCAAAAAAACATTAACCCAACAAAAAAGTACAACCTTCTAACATTAACTTATACGGAGATAAATACAAAATTTGTCCATTCACAAATAAATAAAAATGGCTGAACATATTCTCGTTAAACCATATTAAACATCATGTATTGATGACATTAATCATCAATGATAACCAAATCCACAGTAAGCCTATATGGTGAAGTGACTGAAGTGAAGCCAGCACTAGAAACAGTCGATATATTTCTACCTTTCCCATGTGGGCCGAATATTTTTATGAAAATCTCATAATTGGGACAAGTCTACACACATGCTCAAGCTGCAAAGGTGTCATCCTAAAAAATATGATATATTTAATTTATTGACAAATTTATATAAAAATTCGTATAGTAAAATATATATATGTAAAAATATAACAAAAAATAAACCTCTAAGAAAGAAGCTTTTGTCGCATTGATTAGAAAAAGAACTCGTTATTCATTGTTCCAACGGAACAACTTCGAAGCCTCCATATCTTTTATTTTGAAATGACGTCTTTTTCAAAAAATAACTACTTCCATCACTAGTCTCAAAGTTAATCGTGGTGTTTGCCAACGTGAACTTATCATCTCCCACAGACGACTCCAGCCTCCTTCGAGGAATTCACCCGTGTTGGCAATGCGCCTCTCTAACTTAAGGTCCATAAGACAATCCAACAAAACATCTTTTTCATCTTGTGTTAGCCTTAAGCACCTCATTTCTTTTAACCATGGTCCAATAATAATATCCATTATAAAATGAAAGTGCAATACATTAGTTAATACCAAACAAAAAGCCTATGGAGATGCTAAGTTGTTCAACACATGTTCTATCGCTTTCTCCGATAAGCCTATGGAGATGTTCGCTTTGTGCACGGAACCTATCGACTAACCTAGTCAATACTCGCGTTTTTTGTTTCTCAGTTGCCCATATTGCTACCATAACCATCAAAAAACAAGTAAAAACAATGACAAACTCTCTTACTAAATTATTGAGACAAACAACCACAGCTGATACATTGTCATGTTTACGGGCCATATTCACTAAAATAATACTACAACAAAACCACCAACATATCAATATTAATAATTACTAAATAATTTTCCAAACACATTAACTACATAGTTTGTATAGAATTTTTAAAGATACTACAATTTCTATGGTTCATGGTAACACAGACCAACAATGATGGAAGTGTAGTAAATGGATACAACATAGTCCTAAAAATATGCTATGAAGTTTAAATGCCTTCCAAAGCCAAATAGAAGAGAACTACAATGACATTGAAGGACATGGAGATGCATCTGATGAAATGGATGGAAATGACAGCTTTGTCTCTATTGAGTCTGAAAATTCAACAGATGAATACTGCAATACACTAGGGAAAAAAAAATGCTTCAAAGATATGGAAGCAAATCTTGCATAACATCATTGGGATGAAAGTCTTGATGCAAATGATATCAAGGGAAACACATTAGCGTGGGCATGTCTCTATTTTTCATGTATAATTTCATAGATCGTAATTGTATTTTTTTTTTTTTTTTTGTGTTTGTTAATTATAGATTAAGTTAAAAATTATCTTCTATGACTTTCAGACATAATTCGGATCTTGGTGTTCGATTATATTTTTGTACTTTTTTTAATATTAATTTATATTTAAAAAAAAGTGCATCAATTAATTGGATCAAAATTCCACAGATAGCAGTTGAGAAAGTACAATGACATATCTCGAATACTTTATACTCCAAAAACAGACTATCATATGGCGTTTTTTTTTTTTTAATTGCTTTAAACACCCTCAATTGATTAGTCTAATAATCTATAAATTAAGAAAACAAATATGAATAAATCTGATGTCATTCATGGTTTGAATAAGAGCAGCCCCAAAAAGACGACAATGATAAATGACAGTAGCCGAAAAAGCAAAAGACTATTGATCAATGACTTGGTAGTTGGGAGACCATTCATGCTCATCAGGGTTGATGTTAAGCAAAGGCAAAGGGAAAAGCAAAAACAAAAATGGGAACATTGTAGGGCCCAAATCACATATGTTTCCATTTTCCAAAATTTAAGCTAGGTGAAAGTGAAACCCAAAACTACAATAGCAGGTGCATTTTAAAAAATATGATAGTTGAAGGGGGTAACGTAAAATTAATAATCATTGGAGGTATAAGGTGATAACTGTAATAACTTATTTGTTCTTGTTGTGAGACAAGAGACACCATTAAAGGGAGCAAAGTGTAATTTAAGTAGGCATGAGGCATCCAACAACAAGAACAAAAAAATAAAGCAAACAATAAACTAAAGGGAAGAGAGTGAATCAACAACCAAATCCAATACCACCTCTTTCTTTCCTTTTACTAATTGTTTATTAATTCACAATAAGTTCAAGAGACAGAGACAGAGAGCTTAGTGTTGTACAAGGAATAAACTAACCCAACCCACATAATCTCCTTCGAGATAGAGCTTGTTGAGTCAATGAACTCAGTCATTGAACTCAGCTGGGTGTTACAAAAGACTATACTGATGATTCAAATTGTACCCTACACTTAGCAGAGCACAACCATGGCTAGTCCCGAAAATGAAGATGATGATAAGGGTGATCTAAGAAGACTCTAGAATAAGATTAGCTGTTTCTGCAACAGAGAGGGAGTGGTTGTGCTCCCCTTCATAGGTAACAATCAACATGGTTGGATCATCCAAAGCTCTCTCAACATGTTTACGTGCTGGACATCTTCTCACAGCTACTATCTCATAGATACATAAAGGCTGTGAACCTTATACATGCCTTGTTTTAAAATTGACATTAAAAATCATTTCAGAATTTCATATTTGGATGAACAATTTGGACTATGCTTACTTGATTCTTAATCAGGCATTTGCTCTGTATTTGCTTATTTCCATCATGTGGTGGTTGTTCACTGTGGTCTACATTTAGGAGCAGTTACTATGATTTCTAAATTTCATTTTTCAATATTCTATTACTCACCAGACCTAACTTTGAGCTCCATTATCTTTTCTTTTTCAACTTTTATTCGTATACATTTACCTCTATCATTTTCTCTCTATATTATCTCTGACCATTGTTGTCATCTTATGGCCAGACTTATTGTTGAGTTTGACTATATTATGCATACAGAAGATGACGAATATTGATACATCCAACTTCACCAAAGAAAAACTTCAGTTATGCCTCAATATGCATTTCTGTAAATGAAATTACAACTTCAATGACTCAAAAGTAGCCCAGTTCAAAGTAAATCAGTAATTAGTCACACATGATCTCCAAGAGAACCATGATTTCACAGTTGGGACTTTGAAAAACCAACACTTAACTGGTGAGGAATATAAAGGTATCAGAAAAAAGTAGCCCAGTTCAGAGTAAATCAGTAATTTGTCGCACGTGATTTCCAATAGAATCCTAACTATTGTATGCCTATATTCAGAAAAAAGAACCGTAGGCAGTGAGGAATACAAAGGTATTAGCCAGAATCCTAGTATTAGCAAAATAAAGTATCAAGGAACTTACAACAGAGATTTTTGAACCAAAATATTCGATTCCACTTAACTTCTCTTGATCGAACCCACGAACAACTTTTCTCAGCTTTTAGATGTGTTGCAATTGAACAACGGGAGGGGTTTATATAGGGCAATCGAAGCTTTGTTGAACTGTGATTAACTTGATAGGGCGAAGGAAATATTTGCAACAGATTTTCCCAAATATTTTTTGCAGATCGAAGAAGAGGACCGACTGATTTCTTCAATCATTTCCAGCAAAGAGGACAACAGCCTTCTCTCTCTCTCCATTCGGTCTTTCCCAGAGATTTCCCAAATATTTTTTGCAAGTCATATATTTGTTAGAAGATCTTCTCTGTGTTCATCGATCTCAACCCAGACGAATCTTCTGTCTGTGTTGAGCGATAGAGGTCAGGTCAGAGACATATGAATGGGGGTAATATGGGGTATATGAAATAAATGGGAGTATAAATGTCATTTACTATCTTAAACCCATTAACCCACCTTTCAAACCCCCCCCCCCC